TGGAAATTTTGTAGAAAAGTGTGAATTGAGAATTAGAAAAAATTATTTGTCAAATTAGATGTATTATTTTTCCTTACATGATAACAACTAATTATAAAACGTAAAATTCATACATATAGGAAATTTTGGTTAAAGTTAGTATGATTAATGAAGCTCATATATTTATGAGAGTTTTTCATAAATATGCGATGTTGTTGTATTTAAATCTCGAGAATGGGAGGTTATAGTATACTCCGCGTTAGTACAATGTATAATGTGTACGTACGTATACAGGCTATGAGAGCCTTAATGTTGGGAAGTTAAGTAGATTTTACTTTTCAATATAACACTATAATAGAATGGTCATGCATGCGCACGTAAGCTACGAAAGAGACACGGGAAAGTAGTTTTTTATATAAATTGAGAGCAAACAAAAGATGGCGATGCAAACGAAGGCAATAAACTAGTTACGTATTCCAAATTTAATTTGTTTCTCAGCAGAAAAACAAGAATGGCAAACCCTCGGTTATTTCATAATCAAACTTTCAGTTTCTGTCAATTTCAATTTTGGAAATTCCGGCGCCAGCCAATCTTGTCATTGTTCTCACAGCCATCATAAACCAAACTCTTCATCTCTTTATCAACTATCATTTCTATATATACCCTGCATCAAACCATATCGACACCATATACAATATATATATATCTATCTTTTCTTCTTCTTCTTCTTCTTCTTCGTTTTTGTTGACCATCAGCCTGCCATGGCTATCAACACCTTTCCTACTGTAGAAAACTGTGCGTCGATAGGGAGAGAAAAGGACACAGTGGTTGCCGACATGGATGGGACCTTGCTTAGAGGCCGCAGCTCTTTCCCTTACTTTGCGCTCGTGGCTTTTGAAGTTGGTGGCGTCTTGAGGCTCTTCTTCCTGCTCTTGGTCTCCCCATTTGCCGGCCTTATCTACTACTTCATCTCGGAGTCTGCCGGCATCCAAGTTCTCATCTTTGCAACTTTCGTTGGCATGAAGGTGAGTGACATCAAGTCGGTGGCTCGAGCAGTGCTGCCCAAGTTTTACTCGGCCGATCTTCACCCGGAGACATGGCGGGTGTTTTCTTCTTGCGGGAAACGGTGCGTGCTGACGGCCAATCCAGGAGTGATGGTGGAGCCGTTCTTGAGAGATTTCTTGGGAGCTGA